TTAAATAAATTAGAGGGTCATGGTGGATCAGTCAATTAAGTATGCTTTTCTCCGAATGGTTAATCATTAGTGTCTTGTAGTAATGATAATTCGATTATATTGTGGGATGTTAAAACTGGGAAATAAAAACTCAAAATCAAAGCCTAGTGGAATGTACAATCAGTTTGTTTTTCTCATAATAATACTACAATAGCTTTTCAGCAGCGGTAAATTTGTGTATTTATGGAATCTTAAAACAAGAAAATAAATAAAAAAATTAGTTGGGCATTTAAAAACAGTTGAATCAATATCTTTCACTCCAAATGATACTATATTAGCATCTGGTAGTTCAGATAAGTCGACTCGTATTTGGGATGTTAAGGCAGGTAAATAAAAAGCCAAATTAGATGGTCATTCTTATACAGTTTATTCAGTCAATTTCTCTCCTGATGGTACTACATTAGCATCTGGTAGCAGAGATAACTCTATCCGTTTATGGGATGTTAAGACAGGATAATAAAAAGCCAAATTAGATGGTCATTCATCAACAGATTATTCAGTCAATTTCTCTCCTGATGGTACTACATTAGCATCTGGTAGTTTGGATAACTCTATCCGTTTATGGGATGTTAAGACAGGATAATAAAAGCCAAATTAGATGGTCATTCAGATTAAGTTATGTCAGTCAATTTTAATCCTGATGGTACTAGATTAGCATCTGGTGGTGATGATAACTCTATCCGTTTATGGGATGTTAAGACAGGATAACAAAAAGCCAAATTACATGGTCATTCAAATGGAATTCTATCAATCAGATGGCACTACATTAGCATCTGGTAGTTCAGATTACTCTATCCGTTTATGGGATGTAAAAACATCAAAGGAGATACTCCAATCAGATAGTAGCTACAATGATCTGCTTGCCCAATTTAAATTACCACATCAGAATAGCCACTTATTGCCAAATGGTATTTATTATTAATCATTATTTAGTTACTCCTTATTGCACAATACTTAGAATTTGTTAGAATCCTTTATTTTAAGCATCAGGAACACTTATCTTATAAGGACAATTCATAAATCATTAAGGGATTGATTTAAAACCTTTGTGTAAACCTAAAGGAAGTATGAAAATGTTATAAATCTTAAAAATATTATTATGGTAGGCTGAATCTCAAGAGTTGATGGTTGCATCAGTTTAAAAAACCACAAATTAACTCATAGGATTCAAATGCAAATAAGATGGGCTGATTTCAAAAATTAAAGAAAAAATGTGTTTTGATTAGCTTGAATCAAGAATAAATATAAGGTTTAAAGTGATTAAAATTAATCTATTAAAAGGAAATTAACAATTTTCATCCTATTGAAAAATCACAGCCAATTTTTTTTTCATCTAAAATATAATTCTAATTAGAATTTATTATTGGACGAACTGAAATTGAAATAAAAAAAAAGATTATTTTGATAAAACTTTGGAAATATTTACACAAAACAATGTGAAAATATGACCATGGTTGAAATAAATATTGTTCGACATTAATATTTAGGTTCTTTGATTAGTGTAGGAGTTTAAGAAATTATTTCTTGAATTACCAATCATTTTGTATTTTGGACAATATAAAATGAAAATTAGTAAAATTCAATTTAATAATAATTTAGGTGCAATTAAATTTAATGAGCTAGAAATTGAATCAAGTTGGCCCAATCAACCAAATATCATACAGCCATTTAGCAAATTTATTAAAATGATACATAAATATTGAATTCATCATATTATAGCAGCCTATTTTTATTGATTTGATATGAACTATGTAACATTTTAGAAAGGAGTAGAAAACTATTTTCTTGAAAGTTCAACCATAATGCAATAAAATATTGCTTGCAAAAATCTAACAGAAATTAGACCAAATCATTCTTTATAAAATACTTTTTTTTATAAAATACTTTTTGTTTGTATCATAGAATCCAAATTTCTCATCAACATTGAATTATCTTATTTTATTAATTTAATTAAAGTAGTAACCTTGTTACTAGATTCTTCAACTGGCGTTGAATTCTTCCACTTTTAACACAGCATTGGATGATTTGGCTCTCTTAATAGAGATTTAGGAACATTAATTTAATTTAATTTAATTTAATTTGATATTTATTTATTATTAATTCAATTATATCTAATTTTTTCATTTTTAATGAATTATTTATGCTTCGAAGCCTTAAAATGTTTTATTAGCAATAGCACTAAACATTTAATAAACTATTCTTAATTTATAATTATACATAGCAAATTTGATGTTATAAAAGAGGTAATTGTTAATATTGTTAGTTCAAATTACAAGCATTTTTTGATTAAGTTAATAAAAAATCAAATACTCAAAGAATATCGAATTATCCTTTATTTATTTTGGTCATTAATAATTAATTTTCAAATACTTCAATCAGAATTTCACTATTAAATTGCTTCGATAATTTAGAGATATACATCTATTATTCTAAGTAGTATATTAATTTAATATTGATAGAAAACTCTTTTTTATTTTAACTTAATTTTGAATTTCTTTTACTAACTACTTATTTGATATTGTATTACTTAATTTCTAAAGTTATGAAGTCTTACTTATAATTCTTAATCACAATATTTTAATTTCTAAATAATAATTAAGATTTTAACTCAAAAATAATTATGAAGAGGAATTCACATATCGATATCGATCCAAAGGAGTTTAGAATAAGCCATATTTCTTTAGGCGGATGCCTAAAAAATTTTGATAATAATAGTCATTTGTTTTATTGTTTCTAACTTTTTACAAACTTCATAAATTTTATTGCTAATTTTACTCATCAGACTGTTTCTTTTATTAGTTAACTTCCTTCAGATACTCGTCGACCCTAATGGTGTTATCAACACAGTTTAGGAGCATTCTAACTGTCAAATATTTGATCTAAAATGTTCTAATTTTCATAATTGAGTATTTTTTTTATTTTTTAAGTTTTAATCATCCTAAAATGTTCTATCTCCTTTCTATTCTCTAAAAAATTTCCTCAAATACTTATCAAAAATATCAGATTATAGAAATAAACAATTCCCACCATCTCAAATATCTCTCGACCTTCGAACTCTTATCTTCAACTCCTTTGGAAAAAATTTCCCTAATTACCTTTAGTTAGGGTCACTCAGTTTAATAGTTAAAAATATTTATTAACAAACCAATTTTATCTTTTTTGAAAATTCACTCCTAATATCATAAATTATTATTATTATTATTATTCCTGTTAAGGAACTAGACACGTAAATTATAATCAAAATCACTATTTCAGATCTATTTTCTTTACTTCAATTTTGGTTAAATCCAATAGTTTATTCCTTATCTCCTTTCTTGCCTATTTACTTCTAATTTTTCCACTTAAATAATCAAACAAAAAGACTTCACTTATTTATAAATGTTCATCTAGTACATGTTAATAGTGTGCTCTTTTTTAATGAGTAGCACAAAAATTACCCCCAATACATAAGAGCATTCTTATTTCCGTGATCAATCTGTGGTTTTTCCTCAAGCGAATTAAGAAATCAATAACTGTATTTGATGTTGAAGGTGGAAGGCAATATCATAAATTTAACTCTCGGATAAATTTTACTTTACCAGATACTCTTCAAAAAGAATTCTGTAAGATATTTCTTTATTCTTTAAGTACGTTCATAATCTCCAAGGAAAAAATTATTTTAATGGATGAACCACATTCACTCTTCATTTCGTAGTATATCTTTATGATTATAATATTCTTCTGCAGCCAACCTCATCTACTGGTAGGATCGACTAAATTATCAAGGATGGCTCAAGCTACTGATACTTGATTTAGATTATTAATTTCTCAGCTGCATAGTTTTTATTTTGCCATCAATTAAATTCTTTGGTTAAATTCATATCAATTCTAATAAATAAATTATTAATGAGTTCTTTACTTAAATGGAACTTTATGGTCTCAATCTTTTACCTATGGTTTCCTTTTGTCTATTGAATTTCCTTTATACTGAACAGAAATTACAGTTCCCAATTAATTAGCCACTTCTTAATCATCAGAAGTGATCTTATTATTATCTTTCTCCAGTCAATACAAAATATATTAGACATATGTTAAAGAAATTAGACCATCATTTAAAATGACTTGGAAAATATTCAAATTAAATCACATACTGGATATAAATTTTGGTTTCATTTTCTATTTTGGAAAAGAATAGTTGATATTCTGAGTGAATCTAGTATCAGGTATAGACTATTTGTTTAGATTAAACATCCTTTTGATTAAATGTAAACTAAATTAGTCAACCAAATACAATACTAATAAACCTAAATTTATTTTGTTTCTATTGATATATCTTTTTATTTTAATATTCAATTTATTATATGTATGGAATAATAATTCTAACTATTTCAAATTAATCAATCATATCAAATTCAAATAGAGATTTTTATTATGTTATTTGATTCATGACTGGACAATCATACTTCAAGTAAGAATTGTTCTAATTAATTTATTGATACAATATTTTATAAATCAATCATATACAGGATCGTAATCTAAATATAAATTGGCTTTGCATTCTACAATATTTGGATTTAATGATAATTCATCTACATTTAGCATTTCCAAATCCTCTATAACTCTTTTTCGACTTCTTTTAACTCTTTTTTGGGTTTCATATTAGATAAGTTTCATTTCAGGAGAAGGAGATTTAGTAAATATCTTTTCATCTTTCTCTCTAGATTGCTTTTACTATCTTCTCTTCTCTCTTTTTTTCTCTCTTTAATCGCTATTTAATATTCTGGTTTCTCTTTATTCGCTATTTTATTTACTATTGACATATCTTAGGGTTTCCTCAATCTCATTAAAAGCCCTGATTGTTTATTTTCCATATTTTATTAATTTTGATCTTTCTTTTCATTTTGGCTCATAAATAAATTAATAATTTTCTTATTTGTATCTTTATTGCTATCATCACTATTGATACCAAAAGTAAAAAGCATGGTTTTCTTATTATCTTACTTCTTTTCTGACTTTGGTATAACTGTTTAAGGTAAGGCTATATCATTAGGATTATATTTGTTATTCAATTATATTGACTCTCTATCCTTATTACTGACACTATCACACCCATCAGAGTTTGATCTTAAAGTAGAAAGATGATTATTAGCAATTCTTTTTCTTTATTTCTGGAATTTCGGTAAACTCATTTTTGGCTCATTTTATATTTTAGGCTCAAGAGTTTCTTTGAATTCTCTCATATTATTTAAATCTTTATAATATATGGTTACTTGAAATTCCTTATAATCGAGGGATTGCTATTATTCTTTATATATTGTTTTCTTATTATCTTTTTAAGATTCCTTCTGTTCTTTTGATTATTATTTCCTTTATTTGCCTTGAGTTTTTTTCTTTTGAGTTTTTCTCTCATTATCATTCTCATTTTCATCATCTTCTTCTTCTTCCTACCTTATTTTCCATCCTTTATGTGAATCGATCGTCACAGGCTTATCTCCAAATACATCATCAAAATTTTCATCATATTTAGCCAAAAAATCTGCCTAATCCATTTTTGGCAGTGGTTTCTTGCGAGAATTGTAATTCTGTAATTGCTGAATACTCTATTTCTTAAATTATGGCATTTCTTAACGTTCTGGAATTTCATCTTGATCATCTCTGAGACATCCTCAATTTAAAAAGTGCTTCTATTATGTGTACTAGGGAATATTTTGTTTAAGAAATTCATAGATATATATATATATAATTACGCTGAAGTGAACTATAATATTGATAAAATTATGGAGGCTTTTTAATTAAAATTATAACGAATGAAAAATTACAAATAACAACTATAATACTTATTGTAAAAACCTATTGCGAGTCCTCAATTCCGATAAATATTTCTTGAATGTGACCAATATCAAATGATAGTTTAAGTGCTAATCGAAGCCAAATCGGATAAAATTAGCGTAGTTAAAGAACAATTGAAATTGTTTGGACTATTGGCTGAATGTGCCAATGAAAACTTGAGTCCTCAATTACAAATGATATTCACTCATCTATTAAAAAGAATAAAAGATTTCGAATCAATGAGTTGTGTTTGCACACAAGTACCTGAAATCATAGGAAAAATAGTCAAACATTGTTGTTTCGACGGAGATGTATTAAATAGCATTTTGAAACCACTCATGAATCATTTGAATTAAAATGCTTAACATGCTCTCTGTTTAACCAGAGTAGTTTAATTTTTGTCTTACGAAATCCTCGAACAAAATGCTTTATTCCTATTTAGGAAATTCATCTCATTATTGAATCAACAACATGGTAAAGTGGAGATCCTAGAAGGAATGGCTGCAATCATCTTAAGTGTGGAGGAGTAATCAGAGTATTAAAATTCATTTATCCTAGTATCTTTGCTGATGAAATCATCCCTCATTTGTAATAATTGCTGTCTAATCAATAGTGGCAAGTGAAGAAGATGGCTCTAGACATATTGTACTCTCTTGTAGTCTTCTAAAAAGATAAAATTCAGGACCACTCCTATTTTAAGGAATTAATGTATGAGTTAAAATCAAATAAGGTAATTATTGTAATTGAATTATTAGATAAAACAAGTAAGAGATTCAGCAAACTTAATATTGGATGTGTTACAATAGAATAATTAAATGTAATCGAATAATTCTTAATAACAATTAATACAACCCTAATTAGATAAGTAAGTTACATCTGTTGAAAGATAGACCAACTATGGAGGTTAAATTAAATCCTAATCTCAACCTTAATTATTAATTAACACAACCAATAAGTAATCACACTTAAATAATGCTATACCTCAATAACCACAAACTCCTTCTCAACAATAAATGAATCGACTATCGCAAACACCTGCTTAAACTAACAAAGCTAACGCAGATGACAAACTTCAATTGGCAATTGAAGCAATATAGTTATTGAGTGGGATATTGAAGGCCAAAGGAATGTGTGATCCAGGAGAAACCTAATAAATAGACTCCATATTGAATAGATTGAATGAAAGAGATAGTTACAATCAACCTACAATCAAATTTTTTCAGTTTAATGATGCTGAGACATTTATTAGCAGGGAGGCAGCAGAAATCTTGAGAGAATTCAAGGAGAAATAAAGATAAGATTATCTAAGATGATTTAATTTTATAAGCCATTATATATTAAGAAATCGCAAAATTTAATTAATAAATATCCAAAAAACTAAATCATGTCTTAATCATATTTTTCCGGTCTTATGAGTTGGTATATATACATAATAGATTGACTTAGGGTGAAAAAGCACAACGGTAATAACCAATTGGTTATTGGTCAGAGATCCATCAGTCTTTTCATCTTGAAGATGTATTTACATGACAGATTAGTCTAGAAATCCTTATACAAATTGAATTCGAACTAATCAATTCAATTCAAGGATTCGATTGAACAAATATGCTAAATCTCTGAATAAAATTAAAAAAATAATTTTGAGGAAGTACACCTTCAGTTTTATTCTTAGAAACTGTTATCTTAACTTACTCTCGTGGATTAGGATGAAATATTCGATACGATCTGTATCAGAGGAGATATGATTAGTATAATCACTTTGCTTAGGGATTGTTCCAATGGCAAGGCTTTTACAGAGTAACTAAAGATTATTGAAAATAATAAACAGTTGAAGGTTCAAGATGCTACTTGGTTTGATTCTACTCAACCTTAGAGCTGTCTAAATTGGATAATAAATGAGTTTGAAAAGTAGGTCACTTTGCTCTATTATAAACACATTAACTTCATCAATCACGAATGCATCTAATAGTATTGGATAAACAATGGAAACAACATAAGGAAGAAGGTATCTGAATGTATTTCAAGTGTCATTCGACCAGATCAGAATATTCTCCTTTAATAATACTCTAATTTCATTAAGGATCACTCAATCAATGTTCAAACCATTCAGAGTAAGCTTAATGACAATTTGATTGAATCCATATTCTATTTACCCTTGCACACTGCATTAACTCTTTAAGGTTTCTGTGAAAAATTGGTGCTTCAAATCATTCGAGAATCATATAAGCAATCAATTCTATTGGAATTGGAATGTTTAACTAAGAATGATCAAAATATGCAACCGCAATAATTGGCTTAATAGAAGTTAAAGAAAAAGAAGAAATAAAATAAGCAAAAGAAGTTAGTGCAATAAGTAATCTAAGAATAATTGCAGGTTGTTGTTTAGAAAGAGTAGGAGAATCAAGAAGTTACTACGTATGATAATCAAGACACTGAGGATTGGATTATAGTGACTAAAAATAAAAAATAGAAATGCCCTAATCATACAAATCAGTCATGTAATATTAAGGAAAAATAATAAGAATAATAGGAACAATACCCTTAAATATAAGATTCTAAGATTTCTATGGAGATTGAGGAAGTTAACAAGAATAGTATTCAGTTATAATAAGAAGAAAAAGTTTAGCAATAAGAATAATTATAAAATTAGGAGTAATAATAATAATTAAATTAATTATAATAATAAAAATTAGAGGAATCAGATTAATAATAAAAATAATAATCATATGAATAGAGTTTAATCACTCCTGAGAAGAAAAAGCCTAATAGAAAGAATCTAGTGTTACCTAAGAAGGTTGAATAAAATGAAGACCCCATTGATGAAAATCTTATGAATCAAGCCTTTTAATAAATGATCAAAAAGTTAGATCTCGACATTAAGGAATTTACAGATTAGATCAGAAGGGAGAATGATTAGCAATTTCCAATAAGATAACTAATTTTCAATAGAATTTAATTCACAATTTAATTATTATTTAAGGAAGCAGGTGTGTGTCTGTTTGGATCATGTGTCACAAGATTGGCACTCCCTGATAGTGACATTGATATAGGGATCACTGGACTGGAAACTCATTTATTAAACTAAAAGATGGATGCGATAATTGAGTTCTTGAGTAAAATGAATTGGGTCAAACGTATTAAGTAATTCATTAATCAATATTAGACCAATCTATCCCACTTAAACTACTCTGCCTCTCATCAAACTATGGGTGGATCCTAGTATTCCCTTTAGAAGTGGGAATATGAACTTGCCTCATATCGATCTGGTTTGCCAATCACAGTTGATTTAGGTAGATATCAGTTTCTTTGGACACATCTAGCATTAGGGACTGACATCAACTGAACTCACGTGTTATTGGCTGCAAGAATACTAGGAGTTAAAAACTATAACACTTTTATTTAAAAGTTTGCTTAAAAAGAGAGGATTAAACGATTAATCTAAAGGTGGAATTTCATCGTTCTGCTTAGTACTAATAGTTGTGGCCTTTCTGGAGTACCATTATTAATAAAACGCTGGCTTCCAATCAATTGGATTGGCTACTTACAAATTTCTAGAATTCTACGGCACAAAATTCAATCCTCATTCGATGGGAATTTTTTATAAGGGTTTTGACTAGAAGTATCTATATGATTCGATAATAGTCCATTTTTTTATTTGGAAAAAGATGACTTCTAGTTGACAATAGTTAGTCCCATAACCTATGATATTATTAGTCAGAGTAGTTCATTTGTTTAGACCATACTTCAAGATATCAATGGACTATTTAATGCATGCGAAAATGAAACCAAATTCTTCTATGAGAAGGCGAAATTCAACAAGAAGAAACGAGGGAAGAAGGAGGAACGAAATCTGTTTTATAAGGAATTTGCAAAACTCACACCACTATTTAGTACTTGATTATATATATAAATATTAAATTGAATGAGTGCACCAATAAAGATTGTTATGCTCGGAGAGGGTGAGACATATTCATTTTATCTTTAGGTAGAGTAGGAAAGACTTGTTTGACTTTGAGATATTGTTAAGATCAATTTAATGAGAGTTAAGAATCATCTGTCAATGCCACTTACTTTGATAAAGCCGTAGACCTCGGAGGTGGCAAAGACATTAAATTGGCAATTTGGGTATTTAATTATTCGATTTCTAAAGGACACTGCCGGTCAAGAAATATTTCATGCACTAACTACCGTATATTATCGAGATGCTTATGGCGCTGTACTTGTTTATGATGTCACTTACAAAGAGTCATTCATGAAAGTAGACTATTCAAATCAACTTATAGGTAGAAAAATGGGTAGAGGAGTTAAGACAATTTGGAACCAAAGATATTTCAATAGTTGTTGCAGGAAATAAGTGCGACATGAAGAATTAAATGCAAATTGATAAAAACGAAGTCGAAGAGTATTGCAAAAAGATTGGAGCAAAGCATTTCTTTACATCCGCCAAAGCAGGGGTTGGCATTACTGAATTGTTTAGATCTTTAGGCGAAAGTATAAATTCGATTAACTTAGGCATCTCAATCAAAGTCTAGGCTTAAGAAAGCAAAGGTAAGAAAAAGAAAGGTCTCTAAATCAAAGATGTAAAAGACACTAAGAAATCAAACTCAAAAAATGATGTATGTTGTTGAATTAATTACGAAATTCTTAATCAATATATATTTTATATTCTATATTATAGAATCAATCTAATCCCTCAGGAATCCCTTCATCATCTCCTTTTATCGTTTTAGGTTGAACTAAATTTTAAGACATCTTTTTAATAGTATCAATCTCTAAAAATACTCATCATGCATACATGTGTGAGCCTTTCTATTTTTCCTTTAAAAATCAGCATTTGGTTTCTTTATCCCTTTGGTCACATATCCAATCATTTTTTGAAATCCTGGGATTTGACCATCTCCCAATTCCCAAATTGGCAATCTACCCTCACTAACTACATCTTCACTTTGATGATAGTTATTCATTTTAGATGTGGCAACTGAGGGATTTAAAGAAGGCAAATAATCTATCAATCCACTTGAGTTTAATTGAGGTATTTGCAAAAATGAATTTTGTTAAGGATAGGGTCTTAGATTTAAATTTCCAAAGGAAGGCATCTATGCAGGAATTTCAGGTTCTGCTATATTTATCATAATTGGATCTTTCTTCTTTGTCTTGTGACTAGTTGTTTTTTTAGTACTTTTCTTTTTCTTAGTATCTTGCATAATTTATTCGAAAGTTTGAGGTATTACTTTAGGTGGTTCTTTCTATTTGACCAAATTAACCTTTTCCTCTTTGCTACTTTATTACATTATATGAACTGTAAGGTGCTTCTTCTTTTATTAGTACTCAGGTAGTTTCTCCCAATCATACTAAAATTATCCCTTTCGTTCCTTTTGAATCTACTCCAATTCCTCCTAAAAATAACTCTTCAAAAGTTAATAATTTGGTTATTATTTAAATTCATAGCCTCTTACATCTTACATGAACTTTGTAAAACACTTTTATATAAACACATTAAATACCCTTGGTAATTTGCCACATAACACATCTGGTTTGATTGTCTTCTTCATATGGTGAATTTTAGCATATTTTAAATCCTTCTATTCAATCTGCAGATTCATCCAAGGCAGAGTTCCACTTGCCAAATATATCAACACATATCCTATACTTTCTAAATCATCCTTCCTTCCTTACTCCATTTCATCATGAGCACTTATACTAGCATATCTGGCAGTTCCAATCAAACCTGCTTTCTTAATATATTATATGTGATCCCCTTTGGAGTTCTATATTAATCGCATCTAATTACAATGTAGTGTTTTGACAGTCCAAAATCAATCAGATAAATTATTTTAGGTGATGGCCCTGCCTCAAGTACGAAATTATCAGGTTTAATGTCTCTATGTAAAAAGCGACAATTATGGAGGGTTTCGATTCTATCTATCATCTATTCACTATATATTGTATCGATGACCTACTTGAATTGCTATCTTTAATGAGGTCCCCAAATCAAAATTGCCTCCACACTTTCTTACTACAGATTCTAAATTCTTTCCGAGCATTGTCATTATGCAATATGTGAATCTCTTTTCCTATCCATAAAACTTTATTTAAGGGAATCCAGTTTTTTTTCTAATATTTATCATCCTACTCACTACCTCATTTCGATCAATACTTTGATTTCCTTCTCCAACATACTATAATCCTCCTCCTCTACTTCTACTTTCATTGCCATCACCTAATCTCCGCTTTTCTGATCTATCACTTTATAAACCTGCCCAAAAGAACCCTCTCCAATTTTCTAACTTATACTGAATCTTCCTTAGATAATATCTCCTATCTAATGATTTCGAGATTCATTACTTTCAACTCTTCATCGTCCTCATCACTTTCATAATGATGTTTCATCTGTTTTATTATTAAATATAAAAAATACTTATGACTGGAATTCAAAGAAACAAATAAAAATTATCATTTTTATCAAATATTAATTTAATCTTCATTTAATAAGTTAATGATTAACGCAAATAAGCATTTGTATCATTTCGAAATTCTTCTTACCCAATTATATAAAAAGTACTAAATTGTAATTATTTTTTATATATTAAAATGATTGCTTGGTGAAATAATTAAAACTTTAATTTCAAATTATGTACCTATATTTGATCGTTATTTTTAACATTATCAGGTAACGAAAGATTAAGATTAAGTAAGGGAAAATTGATTTGATTATTATTCTGAATTAAAATAATCTGATAGATTTTATTCTAATTCAAAAATATTACAATATACTAATACTTTATCAGATTGTATTCTCTTTAATCAGCCTCACTCAATAAACATTTTCGCTGATTTAATTTATCAATTAAATTAGACTAAAATATTAATAAAGTAAAATAGAATATTTTAAATAATTTAATAATTAAGATATATTGTTTCTAAAAAAAAATATACTATTAAGTTATTATCCATTCAATGGTAAATTAATAAAAATCATTAATTCCACCTCCTGATTACTTCTGTATTTAAAGTAGCTGCAAAATGTATCTAATCATTAGCACTAAGAGTAAATTCGGCAGCTTGAAGTCCTTATGCTATTGCCATCAAAAATTAGGCGGCATGTCTATATTAATTCCAAGTGTTGGCTTATTGTGCAGCGGCGCATTAAAAAGAAGCATCTTTAATGAAATAGCCATCACATTTGCTTAAATGATGTCTACAAAATATGTCTCCGTATTAACTGATGTATGACATCTCTGAGCATGGCTTATGATGCCATTCTCTTAATTCTGGAGATTTACATTTGCAATCTGGTGGGCAACTGCACTTTAATGGTATAACTTAGCCCTTATTAACTCCTCCTTTAGGTAATTATGCAACTTGCATGCTCATATAATTTTTAATATTAACCTTGAAGAAGGAACTTCTCCCTTTTACAATTAAAAAAAATATTCTATTACATATAATTCTTTAAAATTAATATGATCCGAACTCTAGAACTAAATTGAAATTGATAATAAGAGTAGGATTTTTGAGATAAATCTTAAATATAAAATAACAATTACCTAAAATATCGGTGGTGTCTACTTATCAAAACTCCAAAGTCTAAAACATAGCAGCATATTTTAATTATGCTAAGTCCTTTATAAATGAAGTTCAACCTTTTGATTTCTATCAAGGTATCAGTTTTTTGATTCACAGAATGCCTCTTTATTTGCTAATCTAAAAGCTAAAATAAGATGAGAAGATAATGAAATATTTATTCTATTAGATATTTTTAAAAAAGTGTAAAATAACAATAACATAATATAAATTAGCAGTTTAAATGATGTTTAAATTGCTAAGCTATGTTTAACTTATTTTTGATACTTTGTTAAATGTTAACAATTACTAAAATTATTTAACCAATAATTATTATTTAAATAAATATGATTGATGACTAATAATATATTTGTTAAGAACACAACATAGAGGCAACATTGATTTGCTGTATCTCTTAATGGCATTGCGAGCCTTTATGTGTTGAGTGCATACCAAATCACACTATGCAACACAATAAGAATAAAACTTAATCATCAATCAAAAAATATTAAGATGTGTCATTAGAATGTCAATAAAAATTCAAATAATTCAACAATGAAATAGAGACTTTCAAAGAATAAATTGTTTAAGTTTATATCATTATTATTTATTAGGAAATAAATAAGCCATATGAAGATGAAAATTTAATGAATCTTAAGTTATGGAAGGAATAATACCTTTCATTTTTTGAAGCATACTTTAATAATCTAATAGCGAATTACGATTAGAAATTAAAACAATTTAGGCAGAATCAAACTGACTAATTCTAAAAAGTTATTCAAAATATAGATAAGTTATCAAATCAATATTAGACACTAAAGAATGAAATCAATATTTACACTTTATCTAAATAAAAAGAGTTAGATTAGTTGAAGGATAATTTTTAACAAATATAATAATTCAAGATCAAATAAAGTTACTCATTAAATCTCTTTGAATAATAGCAAATTAAAAATAAGATAAATGATCTTGTTTTAATCGATGATAATGACCAAAGAGATTAAATTTAATAAAAGTAAGTCAAGAAGGAGTTTATACCATAAAAAAGCACTGTTTGTCCCTAATGTGGCACATAAATGACTTATGTTAGCGATTTTAAGAAACACTTGGAATGTCCCAAATGCACTAAGATTAAGAGGCCAAACACTTTAAAAAAATGATTGAATACAACTAATATATATATTTAAAACTATTGAGGGATGCCGCAATTAAAATATAAATTCTTAAAAATCAGTCTATGGATTCATAAACATAGTAAATGGAAAAAGAGAACTAAAACCGCTTTTAGAATTAGACAATTTAAATTGAAAAACAAGAAAGGAAAAACTGATCTCCCTTAGGAGGCTCTTCAGAATAAAATTGTAATTAACATTAATATTAACTCACCTCTAAATCTATCTACTATATAGAATTTAAAATATTCAAATCTAATTTTCAAGCAAGATACGAAACAAATAATTTTACCAAACTCAGACAATAAAACCTTCTCAAGCCCTAAACCTTTTACAATTACTTTAAATTTTAAGCGCTAACTCTAAAGCTAATTTTATAGCAAGTATTTTACTATCATAATTCAATGATTAAATTATAACTAATTCACTATGCTGAAAATTTATATTCTCTGAGTGAATTTAATTAAAGATGCCTTCGTTAAACAATCGCAAAAGAAATTAAATTAAGCTGAATAACACATTTTTATTTTAATAAATAGCAATTAACTATGAGTTCGAGTAGAGTTCTCTAATTTCTTAGTATCTTAACAATCTTTTTTAATCTCTTTTAGTAAAATAATCATATTCAATTCAAATAAATGATGTTATTTATTCAATATTATTATTTTATTTGTTGAATTTTATGATTACCGAATTAGTATTTATCTTAAATAATTCAAATCATATTCCGAGTTTAAATTGTTTTGAAGAAATTTAAGAAATTTCAATTGGATGAACTCTTACTAGTTTTTATTATAAATAATTATACTCTTTATAAATAGTATTAATTTATTTTAGTACGTTTGTTTCTGAAACTCAAATTTGTTTCATTTATATGATAAGAGATTTAAGAAAATTATAATTTGATTATAGAAGATTTAATAACTTATACAATATTCTCAATTTTTTGTGACCGCTAGAGACCTTCATTTATTTTGCCTAAAATATTACTATTATGATAGGTTTGGTTACATTTGGTGTTCATAATATCTAACATTTGATAATGATAATTGTTATTAGTTATATGAGTTATATTAGTTTTATTAGTTTTATTAATTTAATACTTACTCCTGAATTGGCTAATTTAATTCTACATTTTATTATTACAATTTCGGTTTTGATTACAAACTAATATTGTTAACCCCTGAAACGCTTTTAAATTATTATGACACTGCTTTTAAAATTTATTCTGTGTTATTCTATATCACTTTAAGTTAATTTTCTGGAGACTGTTTTTTTATCAGTTAGTCTTTTTCATTAATCGCCAATTCTAGTTCTTTTATAGTTTTCTTTAGTTTAAAAATCTCATCCTATTTCTCTTATAACTTCTAGCATTCTTCTGAAAATTATACTGCATTATCTTTCCTACAACTTTTGAGCTTTTCTTCAAAATTTTGGTATTGCTGATTCAGTTTCAACTAAAATTCTTCTTCTTTAGTGGAAATTATTTAGAATAACAAATCACCAAAGACATATTTAGTATCTTGTTAAGACAAATCTTTTTCAAAATCTTAAAAAAATACTTTTATAATTTTTATCACCTCTTCATATTTAAAATATGATTCTTTCTGTAATTTTTTTAGATCATTTATCAAATCATTTATTACTTTTTAAGCCTTTAATTTAATTTCTTGTTTTTCATTTGAAATCAAATCTAATTTCGCTTTTTATTCTTTTTTCAACTTATCATACTCCTATAAAAAATCTTTTTAAAAATGCTCAGCATGAGAAGTTTTGCTACATCTTTCACAATGATATTCTAAATCATTTAACTCTAAACATGTAATATTGGTGCATATTGAAGATTTCTATTTACAATGTTCATTACAGTATCCGAAAGGAGATTTTTTCTAAAAGAAAGATTCAATTTTAAATGATTGTTCCTCGATTTTTATAATGTTTTCATTAATGGTTGATGGCTTTAAATAATCTATTTTTTATTTGAGATCCGAAATTAAATCATCAATTGTTTATGTAATTTATTATTTGGCCTACTCATGGACTTTTTTATCAACAGAAAATTTAGCAAAATATATGTAGGTATCAAGCGAGGGATTAGAATCTTGCATTAACTTTTCTGCATTTGTTTTATTCCTCGATATTTTTCTACTTTATTGATCAACAAATTCAATCAAATTTTTTTATAAATCAGAAAAAATTTTGAAAATTTTTGATTATATTTCTGTAATATCTTACTCTATTTTTTTTTTCAAATCTGAATTATCTGCGATATCCTGTTCCAAATTACTTTTGTATTAATTATAGTTATTAAAGGCCCTCTCCTTTAATTTAATATAATTTACACCTCGATGTTAACATAAACATTTTTAACAAAGTAACTTGTTATTCTGTAGTTCAATACATTACAATTCTTGACAAACATACATTAATTACTCACTATCATGGCCGGCAATCTAGCACAAATCACTCATCATAGAATGATAGTATTCAAAAAAAATTAATTATATTTAATGCAGAATTTTTCAAACTAAAATTTATGAATTTCAACTCCCATTCGTTTTATATATATTTATTAAGCAGCTTAACCAAAAACAAAAAGAAATATAAGATCAATAATATTTAACATTACAATTAGAAAATTAGCCCTCATTTTACATTGCAATTAGCATTAATAACAGTTGCTTAATAATAAAAAATTTTATTCTATATTAATAATTCAAAGACTTACATATTGTAATCATTTAAAACCTATATCTTTTTGTATCAACAAGTTAATTTTAATAGTTTAATTAATCTAATTCATGTTAAATTCTGGTTTTTGCATAGATTTTTATAAATATTATATTATAAAAATGAAGACTTAAGATTAAGTATCAACCTAAAATAAAGAGAAAGCAATAAATAGGAAGAAGATCTTTAATAAGAAGGAAATTTAATAGTATACAATGATTATAATTTTAAAGTTTTGAATACTTTAAAACAACTCAAAAACTATGACTATACTCTACTTTTTGGAAAATTACTGAGATTCTGAAATGAAAGCTTTCTTAAAAAGATTTACAATCAATTTTAATATAATAATTTTATATGAATAATCATATCACCATTTTTTCACTTAAATAATTTATAAACATGGATAAGTATTTCTCTTGGGTTTATAATAATAAATTATTCGTCTTAAAAACATAACAATCCGGATCTTATAATCTTTATACCATTAATTTGAGCAATTGCTAATTATGGCGATTGGCAGCACAAATCTTTTCGATCATTCTTCCATCAAAGAAGAATTAAGCCAATTCTTCAGATATATCCAAATTTTCAAATATTTAATTCTCCAAAGTATAACAAATAAATTGACTGGCAATCAAAGAATGGGTAGATGCTTAAATATAATTAATTTTAATACCTCCGATAGATTTAAAATTTTAAAAAAGACACTCCAAAACTCGAATTTCAGCTATGTATTAATGTACTTCAAATTAGGGTATATATAGATATGCTTCAAAGTATTTTACAATTTGTCTGATAGATTTATTATACTATTAATTTTTATAATGAAATAGCGATTGTTTTTTGTATAATTTGGAGTATTTAAATTACAATTTATCTTCTAATAAACTTTAATCAAACTATTGAATAGTGACAATTTTCTCTCTTTTAAAGGATTTTATCAATAATTTCACTTTAACATCATGAGGGAGTTTGATTTCAAAAGGTGGAAAATCTTAATTTAATATAGGCATTAAGGAATAATAATTATTAAAATCAAGTGGGTTATATTCTGTTATAGATTTTAGAATTAAAGCCTAGATTTACTCTAAAATGAATTTGGATAAACAGTTTTCAATGAAGAAAGTTAGATTGTCCAAACAATTTGTAAATAACTCCTATATTTAATCAAGAAACAATTTGATATCAGAGTGACTTAATATTAAAGACAAAGCTAATTATACGTTTTGATTATATTAATCTATCTTAAAAGGCATTGAAATAGGTGATTTTTATATGATATCGACAAATTCTTATATGCTTTTTACTTAATCTATTACAGTTCTTGTTTAATCTTGTAAGGTCTTATAAAATTTATTAATCAGATTTATAAGAACTTTAGTAGCATCCTTATTTCCATTTGCAAATTTGCAAATCAATTAAGCGATAATGCTTATGATATTGATTTCAGAGATTGCAGAGACTTCCAATTATCTAATCAATAGATCTATATCTGAAATTTGAGAATTTTTCAGGAAAATACTGATCAATTTATCAACTAAGGGATCAGCTCCATTGACTATTCTTTGCAATTACAATAGCAGTTCTCTATTATTTGTAGAGATACCATTTTGGAGATAAATAACGATTATTCTGGTACTACTGGGTCCATCCAAAATTTCCTTCTCAATAAAGGATCTCGTTACTGTCTTATTTTGTCTTTAGACAATCTATTATTCTTGTGATTCATCAGAATCAGTGACAGGTGACAATTCATCTTTACTTTATAAAATAATATATCTATAGTCTTCAATTTTTTCACTAGAATAGCCAACTGGGAATTCAGTTAAAGTCTTTTGAAGTTTATCGTGAATATAAAATAGATGTTCAATGTTATGCTCTTCTTGGAGCATGTAGAATTCAATTAATCTCTAAGCATTGAGAATCGCAATAGGTTCAATGGAATTAGACAAAGTCTATTCTAACTCTTAGAGATTAATCATAGAATTCAATCTTTCTGGGGTTATTTCTTTATGTAAAATGTACTCTGTTAAGTATTCAAGAGTGTATGCTGAAAATAACAATTTATAGTATTCAGATTATTGGACTCCTTTGAAATAGTGTTAGACAAGTTCGAATTGTAGATTCTTTTTAGAGAAATCGCTTAGAATAGGTGTATACATTTCATTAATTTGGTATACTACTTATAAGAGTCTTTTGAATTTCTTTCCTTAAAATTTTGAATCCTCTAAACACACAGATTGCAAATGATCTAGATAGGTTTGGAAGAGCGCTCTTTGATTCGGTAGATCTAGAGCTTTCATCTATTTAAGAAGAGTGAATTACGTATTCCTTGATGAGGGAAGGTTTTACACAAAATTCAAGCCATGTATATCGCTCCATTAATAATAATTATTGATTTAATGAATATTATATACAGAGGTGAAAATTTTAATCCAAAAAGAAAATATAGTATAATCTCGACGTTAGATATATTGCCTTACAGTATTTTGATATTGAATTCATGGTTCAATCTGAGATATTATATTAGACTCTTATACATTATAAATTACTTAATATTTGTTATGAAGATTTATAAAATTGATAGACAGGTTCAAAAATATGTACCGAAATATCAAATATTTCATTATCAAATGTTAAGAAAATGAAGAATGGCAGAATATAAATTATTTTAACTCATAAAAATTTTCATATTTTTTATATTTTCCTTTCTTAAAACAAATGCAAGAATATTTTCTACTTTAAATAATCTAAAAATATTTTTATTATCAGAATATGTTATAAATATTTATTTAATTAGTTTGATAGATATGAAATAGTTAGAATTATGATTTACTCTATATATTTTAGATTATGATGCTATAATATATATTAGATTTATTCAGAGTATCAACTATTAATATATTAAAAAAGCCAAAAATAGATTTATATTCAAGGTTAATTTTAATAATTTAAAATAAAAACATAATTTGAAATTAGTGTGCTATACCGAGGGGAATTAGTTTTAACAATTTGTATCATTTTTTGAACAATTTAATCTTCTTCACCTTTTATATCAATAATGTTAGCAGTTAGTTTGTTATAAACTATATGAAGTTGTATGCAATCAGAACAGCTTATTTTTCTTTTTATTTTTTAGGTAATTAAGCTGAGTAAACATCTTTTCTGAATTGCTATTCACTTGGGATTCATGATCCCCTATTTATTTATCATCCTATAATGATTCACTAATTCCCATGACCTCCTTGCTGAAAGTAAGAATAATGCATTTAATTTATTTATTGGGATTGTTCAAAGCTACATAAGATTGATTTTTCAAAATTATTTCATAATCATAGATATGCTAAGAAATTAACATATTTGAATTAGAAGTACGGTAAATGGCCTTTTAGGAATGACACTAGCTATGGGATTATTTAATCAATCCTTCTTTGAATTAATTTAAGTTTAGATTGATTATCTCTTAGTTTACAGCTTTTTAGAAAGAATTAAAATTGAAGAGTTGTATTTTATTCTTAACTCAATTCTTGCATAATATTTCCACCCTTTTTCACGAAAATAACGAATGACTAATCATTTAAATTTATTAATTGCATATAATTTAATTAAATTGCTAAATAAAGTAATAATACAGCAGCCATTCGGTTTATAATATTAATTAATCATCTATGGAGGATTGTTTTTAGGACAAATTATTTGAGATATTGACCATTTATCTATCAAAAATAACTTTCAATAAAAATTGCTCAAACAACAAACAGTGTCTAATTAGTAGACCATTAATAACTAATGAGCATTTATTTTATTTTTATCTTATACATTAGTAAATATAACATAGCGACTGATTTTGAATATAAGTAAATTCTAAATTAAGGTTTAGTATAGACTATTGATATTGAATAGAGGCGATTTTACTTATTATGCCATAATGAGATAGCTTAAACTTATCCTAAATCGATTCTCATTCAGTTTATTATAATTTTGATAATATAATATAATACTTTATGAATAATAGGAATAAGGTATTGATTCATTGAAACTTTTTAAAGTTAAGAATAAAGGATATTTTAGGATAGAATGATATTCTTTTGGATGAAGCCAGCAATGAATAATTTCGGATTCAGTAAAGGTTTTTAAGAAATCATCAAAATATGTTTGAATAATTGACATCCACTCTTACAACTAGACCATTAACATTCGCAAAGTTTTCGTTTCAAAAGGGTGAAGTGGAATCAGACGAATAACTAAGACCCATTGTTAGTGGAATTTATCAGCATTAGAGACAGGGTTCTATGCTTACGAGCGAACTTTGGTCGAAAAAGCAATGTCGACAATATTTGAAGTAAACCAAGTATGCATATTGTTTATACACTCAGCATGTAGACAGCCAAGGGTGTTCTGAAGAGATTTGCTCATTGGGAGTGGGATTAGAATTCTAATAAGGAAAGATTTAAGAATCTCACTGAAAAGCATAAATAAATTACTTATACTAATGAACGTGAATTGGTAACCAAATTGTAATTGGGTACTATTGAAGGTGAGAAGAGATTAAGATAGAAAATACTGAGAGATTGGAGAATACAATAGAGTTACGACATTCAAGGAGAATTAGAGAAGTACAAAGATTCAGAGATTATTAAATCCAAAGGAATGAAGTCTCATAAATAGAGTTAATCATATGGATAATTGCCATTGAGATTTTTGGTTAAAAATCATCAAATAAACCATATTATAACAGAGCTTTCAGAATTGCAGGAAGATACGAAGAAAGATAAGAAGAATTTTGATAGAGTGTTAAAATAAAAGAGAAATAACAATCGTTTATAAAAGATATCTTTTGATTAATTTTTGTAAGACTGATTATAGATAATAATAATTGTTTGGACTTTGAATTTAGTTCATTTTTATAATAATATATAAACTCGACTAGAATGTTGTTCAATATTAAATAATGAACTAATCAAGTTGGTTTTCCCTTGAGGAAGTAGAATTGCAACACTAAATTACTGCTGCCAATCCTCCAGTAATTAAGGAACGAAAATTGCCAGAAAAATTAGACATGGATTCACTCCTATCTTAGTACAAATCGATTGAAATAAATCCAAATCTGATCAAATATGTGGTTGTTGAAAGTGAAACAACTGAGAATTCTAAACAGGTCAACTTTAAATCTAAAATTAAACTTAAATGCGAGGAACGAGACTTGCATGGAAGTCTAGCCAATAAGGGTACAAATAATATTCAGGCCACTAAAATATCCATGGCATCCAGCATTCCATATATCTAAGGTTTAAGATCTGCTTTTCTATCAATGAAGGAAGGAGATGTTGCTTGGTTCAAATTATCAAATGAATAGATGTACACAGAGTAAGAAATTGCAAGTGGAATCCCAGTCCAATCTTTCCAAAAATATTTCAAAATCGAAATATTAGAAGTCACTCAGCCAGAAATCCCTCTTGACTTAACAAGTCTAGACAAGTATTTACTTCATTTATATTAAAGTCGACTCAAGCAGATGGAATTGTTTAAAATTGAAGGAAATTAATTCTACGAAAAGCAGTAGTATCAAAGTGCATTACTGAGATACTAAAGAGGACTAAACTTTCTAGAAAAATGGCCTAAAAAGTTTGAAAGCAATCCTGTAGCTATTGAAGCCAAAAGGAATTCTTTGTTGGTGCTATCAAGTAATAAGGCATAATGCTTGATCAAGCTATAAGACTATAAATAAGCAATCTCAGTACTCGAGCCTTTAATCGGTTAGATGAGAAACAAGGTATTTATTTGAGCATCATTAATATCTTAGTAATATGAGGTCAAGAATTACTACAGGTTAATCAGTTGTTTCTATGAGACAGATGAATAAGTTAAAGCAGATTTCTATTACAGACAGGTTATTCATATGTGTTAGCTTTCACAAGAAGAAAAGCAGCTGTTTCATTCTATCAAATTCAAAAAGTGATTTATTTATAAGTTATTTTTTATTATATAGATATCAATTTAAAACGTATTGAAATCTTGTTTTTGATGATTGCAACTTAATATCTTATATAGTATATTAAATATATAGTCTTCAAGAGTTTGTAGAATGATAAAAGGTGTATGGTAAATTGATTAAAATGAAATATGGTGGAATAAATAATGTAAACTGAGAAGAATTTTAATCATCTTAATTACCAATCAATCAAAGAAGAACGTCAAGGAAAATTATTCTTAAAATAAAAAAGAAAAGTCTTGGATCAAAATAATCGGATGAAATATTTTGATTCATAATTTTGTTAGAATAAGACTATCAAAATTTGAGACTAAAAGGAACTCAACTAATTCTTTGAATTATGAGATCTTCAAAAGAAGAAATCCAATACAACTTTGAATTATTATTTATTAAGTCTGAATAATTAATTAATATTACTCTCCCTCCATAGATTTTACTTCAATCTATTTGTCCTGTTATTTTAGAAATCCAAATTAATATAAAATTAAATGCAAAAATCAATTAATGATAACATATAATCAGCTTATGAATATAACTATGAAGGTAATATCATCAACTACTGAATCATCTTCCTATTTTAATCATATAATTATTTACTAAAGTCCACATTTTATAGGAGATTTGCATTAATTCATCACAGGCTCCCTCCAAATTGCCTTAAAGATAATGCCTGCCTACAATATCGACTACGCTTTGATTATCAATAAATTCCCAGACTCCATCACTTCCTAAAATAATGAATTTATCCTATGGAGTCAATTAATATTCAAATATCTCTAAAAGCAATAGAAATTATAGAAATTACCAGGAACACTAGAAACACCAACTGATTGTGCAATCTAATCACCAAGACTACGACTCATGGCCAATCCTGGATAATTTCCATCTCTAACCCAAACTCGAGCTGGTCCAATCGAATTACCTAATGGATTAATGAATGATACCTTGATCATCGTAGTAAGTGTCTACTCTACCACCATGCATATGTATTCTATTCATTTCTTTTTCAATGCATGGTTTGTGATCGATTGATAGGGGGAATGGTTTGAATCTTTGATTGTTTCCAAGTCTTCCAACAATTGCTCTACTGTCTCCGACATTGGAACAGATTAGATGTCCACCGTCTTGGATTAAGATGACATTCATAGTGGTGCCACTGAATTGAGTGTCAAATGGTTGTTAATTAATTAGGTTAGCTAGGACAGAGATGGATTTAACTATGGCTTGTCTGGGATGTTATTTAAGTTGATGATCTCTTTTTAGTAGTTTAGTGAAATGATCTCTAACATATTATGAAACAAAATGCCCATTTTATCCGTGACCATCACATACAGAGAAGAGATGCATGTCAGAGACGATGTTGGTTTCACAAATAAAAGTGTCTTAATTAGTTTTATTGGGATTGGATGCCAATTGGCCTTGTCTTGTTCTGCTGCTAAAAGATAGTTTGAATTGTAGGAAATCAGGATTGTAATGCAAGGATTAAGCAGATCGATATTTGAGATCGCTTTTAGGTTCTTATCGCATGTTGTGAGTACTCGAACTTTAAGCTCTGCGTACTTATTAATCAATGGTGGAATTGTTAAGCTGTAAATTATGAATATAGATTCTGTTACAAAATTGTGCCATAAATTTCTTTTATCCACATTGGTCTTCTGCTTTTAATTGGCATATTATTTAATCAGATTCTAAGTGGATTCAACTACAGTTTATCGTTTTGGTTACAGTGATTCGTAGGGTCTAGATATTTCTATTTTTAAGGAACTCAAAATACTTTTTTAAGAGTTCTTGGCATCAATGGTAGCAGATCTGGGCTATCGCAACTAAGAGAAATTGGTCTTGAGCTATTTGGCACTGGATTTCTGTGTCTATTCTATGCGTAGATTCTTGATAAAGTAATTGTTGGTGATTTGGGTAAGGTTTTCCTTCCTCATGAAAATGCTATCAATCAGTACAATTTAGCAATGGTTTTAACATCACTATTCAAGTATGCTGCATATGACGTCTGTGATTTGCTACCTATCGCCTGTTTTGGTTTCTTTGCATTTGCTTTGTAAATATCAACTGTTCTTTTCATTAATTAATAAATGAAATAAGAGGATTCTGAGTCGCCCAGTCTTTGTGGGTACATCAACTTCTTCCAAGTCTTAGGAGATATGGAATCAGAGGGTCTAATCACACAATAAGAGAAAAGAATCATCAAGTAGAAATTAACCATAAAGGAACCCTCCCTCATGCTGCTATTGTCTAAATAATAGGAAGAAACCTAGATCAAATCGGAATTGCTATCACTCTTGTCTTCTTTCCAGATGACTCGTTCCAAATCACACACTCAAGAATTTAGTTCATCCAAAAAACAAGGACAACAATTTCAAGTAAAACAGATACATATTTCCCATAGACGCAAACCATCTAACTCATGGATCAACTAATCATCCAATTGAAGTGCATGCAACAATATGCCAATCAACAGGTAATTGAGTCTAGCCTATTATTGCATTAGATCACCTAAGATTTTAAGTCTAAAATTGAACAACTCAGAAATATACTCGACTCATTGGATCAAGATGAAGACGTCGATTAATCCTATGTTGAACTGCTCCAATCTAACTATTAATAGATTAAGGTAATGTAGACGTTACAGTTAGCAAAGGTATTCTCGTTACATGAATTCGCTCCTTGAATTGATGGATGAGAAAGTCGAACCCAAAGATATCCAGGCATTCCTAAACACCTTCCTAAATCAACTCATCGGGTGTTAGACTTACAGTTTCATACTCCTCAAAGATCAAAAGGTTCAAATTCACCAGGAGGACAAGTTCGAAGAATTCCAAATCACCAAAGATGTCCTTGATGATTTGGTTAATCTACAACAAATAACCGAGGTCCACTCTTTGAACACTCTCAAACAGTACTACCAAAGTCCTAATAATTTTATACTCAAACTCACAGATTACTAATACTTTGTGATGCAATTGGATCCCAACTTCATGTCATTTGTTATGTTGTCCAAAAAGTATAATTACATGGACTCCTTGATAGAATTAGCTCAATTTGTAATATATACTTCATAACAAATCAAAGTCCAGTACTTCAGCATACTGTCTATTGGAGACACTGTCTTGGAATTTGGTCTAGAAATAGTCAGATGCTCCAAGTATCTACTCATTGAGAATATACTCTAAACCATCAACAAACAATATTAAATCCACGAGATCTTTGAAAACTAACCCAATGTGATCACTCTCAAATTTAAGGATTCCTCCTCTCAACATCTATTTGCCTCCAATCTAGATCTCAAAAAACAATAAGACTTGCTGATCTATAACACTGTCAATCAAATCTACCAACGATATCAGCAGTTTATTAAATAGTGCTACGAGAGAATGCAATTCTACAAGTACTTTTTAAGATCTAAAAACTTATTCATGATTGATTTTGATAAACAGGGTCGCCTGCGTTTTTTGAGCAGAGCCTTATCGCAGAAGATTAAAATGTAATTTCATATTGAAAAAATCTAAATTGACTCTACCTACAAGTAGATCTTCATATAGAATCAGCAAATGCTTCAAAATATTGAAAATTATATTAGCAATGCTAAGTGGAAATTAACTCAGCAGGAGGAGGATTAAAATAAACCATATGAAATATTCATAAGGAAGGAGGAGAAGCACTTCAAAGGATTCACCTTGATCCTCTTAGAAAATGAATGGGTCCGTAAAAAGACTCAGCCTCCAACGAATGGAAAGACAATTAAACAATAATTGTTGTAGACAGAGACCTTGGATTACATTAAGAAACTTGAAGAATTTAATCCTGACATCAGAAACTCCGTAGTTGCAATGTACATGCCTTAAATATAGGAATGCAATTCTAATGCTTAACAAACTCAAAAGACTCCAACTTTGGTGTTTAGAAAGATTGACAAGGGACAAGTTGTTGGAAAGAATAGCTTCTTCTTTAAACAAAGGGAGGAAGAGAGAAGGTTTATGAAAACGAATCCAAATAAGTTTAATGAGTCTCACCTAACTCTTAGAGAAGAAGACAGCTAGTTGGATTCTCTAGATTTCAACATTCATTTAGTAATATTTATTACTAGTATTTAGATTAAGTCTACAGTGGAGAAGTAGAGAATAGTTTGGTCAATGCTGGAAAGAAACAACTTTAATTAAATGTTTGCGTTGCCTTAAGACAAATTGATCAACTTTTTGATTGAAATGGAATCTCAATACAATATGAACAACAACCCTTATCACAATTTCGATCATGGAGTAGCAGTGATGCAGGCTGTCAATTGTTTTATCAAATCATTGACAAATCAATTAGATTAACAATTCTTTAACAATATTACTAAGTTTTGTTTATTGTTGTCAGCCTTATGTCACGATGTTGCTCATACAGGTAAGACCAATGCCTATGAAGCTAATTCAATTAGTCAATTGGCTATCCGTTATCATGACAAAGTGGTAAATTGTATATTGTTAACTCTTTTATTAGATACTGGAACAACATCATGCAGCAACGACTATTAAGATCTTGAGAGATGATTAGACTAATATTCTTTGCAACTTTTCTGATTAGGATTTCAGAACCTTTAGGAAATAACTAATTTCCAACATCTTGTCGACTGATATGCAAGAGCACTTCAAGATGCTGAAGGAATTCGAATCCAGAATTGAATAATATGGTAATGATCCTGAAGACTTATCGTTGTTATGTGGGATGATCACTCACGCTGCTGATTTTAATGGGACTGCAAGGAAGTGGCCTCAAAGTAGATTGTGGAGTGATAAAATCAATTAAGAGTATCGGGCTCAGTATGCGGAGGAGGGTAAGAAAGGCTATCCTCAATAGCCGTTTATGAAAGATCTAGACAAGGTAAAAAAGAGTATTGAATATCATAGTTGCACGTGATGTCTAAGAATGAAATTGGGTTCATCAAGGTCATAGTTAGGCCATTGTATCATCAGATGAACTAGTTTGGCAAAGGAGCGTTTTAAGTCTGTGTGGATAATTTGGATGAAACCACATTTGAATGGGAGAAAGTGTATTAGTAAGAGTTGAAGGCATAGCAATAATAAGGTAATCAATGATTACTGATGATATTTTTGTTATGTTGGGGGGATAATTTATATTCATTAAAATATATAATATTGACCAGATGATGTTAGGCAAGCCAGACCTCAAATGGTGTATTCAATAGAAGGCAGCCTAGAATGTTAAAGAGAGACTCTATGGCTATCCCAGTCATTAGAATTAATTGCCTGTGCAAACTCAGACCAAGTATAGCATCCCCACTGAATTCGTAGGATGCATCAATGATCAAGACCAGAAGGATGTTATTAAGATCCTCAAGTTCACTCATCTCAAAGTACTCATTCCATACATTTTAGTGGCTAGCCAAAAGCAATAGCTTCGCCTTAGGTTATAATAAGATCAATAATTAAAAGCGATAAGGACACTTGTCTATCTTTGATTTAAATGATTGGAAATTATTTTATAAGAAATTCGCAAATGAAGAAGCAATGGTAGGGATATTAAGTTAAGAATACTTAAATAAAGTATTTGGAATTGGGAGTAATGGAGGCATCTACACTATTGAAAAGGGGTTAGGAGGACTAGAGTAGAGGCCAGTATTGGAGACTAAAATCTTGTAGATTACAGAGGGAGCCTTCTCGCCTAATCATAACAAGATTGCTTTTTCGAGTTAGGATAAGTTGATCTATCTCTATGATGTCTAATCAGAATAGAAGGAGACTCTTATAGGACATGGTAAGGAAGTGTATACAGTGCAATGGAATCCAGAAAACAGTCTAATAATCAGTGGGGCAGATGATGAGACAATTCGTCTCTGGGATGCTTCTAGTAGAGACGAGATTCTGAATTTAAAAAGACATAATTTAGGAGTTAAAAAGGTGAGGTGGAATAGAAATGGGACCTACTTCGCCACGACAGGGAAGGATAAGCAAACCTTGTTGTTTGATCTGAGAAAAATGGATATGGAGATATTTAAATTGCATCAGACTCAGGTTGACACCATCTTTTGGCATCCAAAATATCAAAATATATTTCTCACAGGTGATGCCAATGGTTCTATCTCATGTTATAATATCAATGCTCCAACTGAACCCATGTATGTGTAGCATGTGCCTGAGACCATTGTGACTGATTTGGCTTTAGACTCAAGTGGGGCAATGATGAGTGTGATTAGAGCCAAATAATTACAACCAGAGTAAAAAATCAGTATGGCTGATTAAATTTCTATTTATAAGACTGCATGATTTATTTATATATCTTAATATACATTCTATACTATAAACAATATTTAAAATAATTATATGAGTAATAATATTGAGAGGAGCTTTTCTGTGAAGAATAGGAATTTTCATCCAGAAGAGACTACTCAAAGCAGTGGCAAAGTCAAAGTCACTAGACACTTTACTAATCAAGTTTATCAGGCATAAAACTCAGATCAAAAACCGACCAAAGATGTCGAAAAGGTGAATGAACTAATCAAATTGAGTGAGTAGATCAAGAAGGAATTGTTGAAGGTTAAGTTTTGTACACTTTGCAAGAGAAAGTTTCAGAGTATCAAATACTTAATTGAACATGAAGAGAATTCAGAAGTACACAAAAAGATTAAATAATGATATTTATTAAAATTTAACGTAATGCTTGATGAATTAGAATTATTGGTTGAAAAAGAATTAGCTAAGTTAAATTCTCTCAACGGAAAAGACAAGGCTCCTTAGGTTGTTCAACAACCATTGATGTAGAACAAGGACAAAGTCAATCTCATCATCTCCATTGATAATAAACCAAAAGATGTTAAACATCCATCAACAACTGAGCAATGTTCATTCAGACCCATGTTATCTAGAAAGTCTTTGAGAATGGCTGAGAAATTGGGTGATGCCAAGGAAAGACTAACTAAGCCTAGATCGGTCACACCTGAAATCAAAGAATCATCATAATCATAAACGAGGAAAAGAGCAATATCTGGGGTTGCTCCAAGATGGGAATAGTTATACACATTAGATCAATTCTATAAATCAAAGAAGGAAGCTTTGAGAATACAGATAGAAATGGAAAGATCAAAAGAAAATGAGACAACATTTCAACCTGATCTCTCAAAGAGTCAAACCAAATATTGTGATTTTACTATGCCTTTTGATCAAAGAAATCGATATTGGGAAACCAAAAAATAGGAGAAACTTCTTTAATATCAAAAAGATGTCCAAACTGAAAGTCAATCGTTATGCACCTTTAAACCTTAAGTAAATAAAAAGATAGCACTAAAAAGTGCAAAAGTATCAGAATTCAATAAAAAAGGACTCATAACCTACTTTGAAAGAGTCTAATAAGCCAATAAGAAGAAAGAAGAACCCAAAAAGTCCTCAAAATGGAAGCCTGGAGTTACAATACCACAAGAATTCAAATTAAGCCATACTAATAGATAATTATGATTTCAATCCTATTACTTAATCACATTATATAGATAATACTAATTATTATTTTAGTTGGATTATTTTAAAATATCATCTTGCATTATCTTTTATTGAATCTAAAGTCCATTTTAAAATTAGTTAAATGAATTCACTTTCTATTATTAAATTAGAATAAAATTATTAGCTTTTATATAGAATTGATATTTAAAATAATAGAAATCTTATTACTAATCGAATTAGTATTCTTAATTATTAGGCAATTTCGAAATTGAAATAAGTATAATTGAAACCAATTACAATATTTTAATTATCTAATTTATCATCCTTTTCAACTCCCAGTTGTTATGAACTATAGATTTCTAAAGAGCATATTTATTTTTCTCTTTTGCTTAATCCAGTTTAAATCTGTGCTTTCTTGGTTGCGAGTAGGACTGTATCCTTATTTATATATATTTTACGAATATAAACTTTGCCAATCTTTTTATGAAAAAATAATTCTTAAAACTTTCCATATTTATGATCAATATAATATATGATTAAATGTAATATGCAGTAAGTGATAGTAAAATATAAATCAATTAAGAAGTAAAATCGATGGATATTTAATTAATTTATGAAAAGGAATATAGAATGCACAACAAAGTTTAGAACTATATCAGGGGACATGGTAATTACATTAGTAGGTTAAGAATGATCAAACATTCATTTAGGGCGAGTAAAGATTGATGGAACAGTTCAAAATTCATTGCTTAAAAGTTGATATTATTGCATTACGTTAAAAGAATATGGGGATCATTAAATTGAAATAATGAAAGTTATATATTAAATTATATATTGATATGAATAAGCTTAGGAGAGTTGTAAGGAATTTGGACTTGATGTTGAAACATTTCAAGAAAAACTAGAAGGCAAACAAGATGGAGAGATTTAGAAGACACGTAATAAATGAGATTTTATATACAGAGTTAAACTACATTAATGATTTGGGTGTATTGGAGGATGTAAGAATAATCAATAGCATACTTAGCTTAGGGAGATCCTGACGAATGAGTTGCCAATGAGGAGTGACGAGAAATACATCTCTGCAATATTCATGAACGTTTCGGATATAAGAAAGGAGAATCAAAAGTTTTATGATTAGGTGAAGAGCAAAGCAGCAAATATAAATCGAAATTCGGTAATATTTGACAATGTGGATGTTAAAGGCTTTGAGACTTATTATCACTATTGCAGGAACTACAATGACTCCCTTAAAGCTTTAAAATTATTATTGCAGAAGCAGCCCTAGTTGGAGCATAGTTTGAAGAACAGAGAGAATATGAGAGGATTGCAATTGGTGGATTTTCTGGTGAAGCCCGTGCAAAGATTACCTAAATATGTTTTATTTTGGAAAGAACTCATTAAGGGTACTAGAAAGAATCATCCTGATATGGAAAACATATTGAACCTGCAAGATGAATTCGAACGACTCAATGACGAAAATAATAAGTCGATGGACAAATTCATCAACAGAGCTAGAGTGAAGGAGTTGAGTAAGGAATATAATGATGAGAGGATTTATACTGACAATGAGGATAGGCTGGTTATGTTTCAAGATACTGCCAATGTGATTACGGAGGGGAGGGAATTGAATGTGTTGTTTTACATTTTTACAGACATGATATTGATAGGGTATCAGGATCAGGAGAGTAAAGCAAATAGAGCTATGAAATTCAAATTGGATTCACAAACAATAATAAAAGATCAGTTGGATACTAAATATTTCACAAATCTGTTCAGCATAGTGAATTAGGAGAATGTGATTTAATTCACTGCTTAGAGTAAGGAAATGAAGGATAAGTCAATCAAGTAAATCTCAAAGATTATAAACTATATTAAAGAGAAATCTTAGATGTAAGATATTTATCCAATAACAGTTAAAGTAGTGGGAACAGAGGAGAGATTCAGTTACAGCATAAACAAATACACAATCTACATTGTAGAAATCGAGATATAGAGGATTGTATTAAAAATATATATTCGATTCTCAAAAGCATTGGAGTTATTGAATATTTTCAAATAGCGATATCCAAATGGGAAATTTGAAGATATCTCTTCATATCATTGGCTTAATAATCACTCAACAAAAGTAATTGAGTAAAGAATGATAGCAATTGAGAAGATGATACAATAAGTACTGATTCTCAATTAGAAATAACCTGAAAAATTATAGTCACATGATCAATCCATTCTCTCCTTATTAACTTTGCCAGAAAACTTCTACGAACTACCAAAAATGAACATTTAAGTTGATATCGAAGTCAAGAGGCAATTCTAGAGCCATATGAATGTTGTGTTGTAGCAGACTATATAAGGAGTCTCAGATATCTTAGATGCTTACTTTTCTGCGAAAAATAGCTAGATTAGAGTGTCAACAATATAGGACACAAATGTGGTTGTGGTTACTGACTTTTCTCAGGAAATGTAATAAAAGAATGGAAAGGTAATTGATGTCTACTTAATCGACAATTAATGTGAGAAGATACAAATTTATGAAATCACTAGGGCTGCTGAAATAGTGAAAGTGTTGGCTAAGCAGATGTACTTGAAGTACTATCAGGATTTCAAATTGATATTGGAGGATAAGTATCTCAATAGAAGAGTGATTGACGACGATGAGGTGATACTGTAATTGCATAAGATCAGTGTAAATGGGATCTTCAATTCCTCAATCAATAAGATAGAGTAGTTTTGGACTAACAGCAATGAGGAGAGACTGTTTTTCAGGAAGGTGATTTATTTAGATCCGAAATACGAATTTGTCGACATCTATCAAGATTAGGTGAGAATGCAGTATATCTTACTGTAATTCTTCGAAGAGATCAGAGAACTCAAATTCCTGTTGAATAGGGAGAAGCTGTTTCTCTATATTGCCTTTTACCTCATTATCAAGAGGTAGGAGGTGAAACACGAGAATATCTCAAAGTATTTAAAAAGCGAGATTTTCGATTAGATCGAGCCTCATAGATGGGAGGTAGAAGTGAAAAGATACATTACCCAAATCAACAGTTAATTGTTGCAATTGGAGACTGAAAAGAAGTCTATGGTGTATTTGTGTTAGTATCAATTCCTGAAGAACATTTACTATGAGAAGGAGGCGACTATGAACATTTACAAGTTGGAGGTGCATAGAGAATTACAAGCAGCGTTCTCGAAGTTGAAAGTCCCTGACATCAAGGGGAACATCTACATTGGGTTATCTTAAGCAAAGATCTCCTTGTTGACTCCGCTGGACAAAAAAGTAATCTAAGAAATCCAGTACCAAGAGATCGACAACATACAATCTTTTCCGAATAAGTTAGTTATACGTACAAAATCGAACATACCTGAGAAGGGTTGGAAGTTCATTACTTTCCAAAGTTACGAGATCAAGATGTTGATCAATTTTTACAAGGAGTTGAGTTTGAACGATAGTTGATAAATTTCTATAATCATTATTTGTAAATTTTATAATGGATGATGCTTATTCTCATTAAGCTTCAACTCCCACGGATCGAGATCGCAAATCCAACCTGGAAACCATGAGGAATGAGAACATGAACTTTGTTGAGTAATCCTAATTATTATAGTCCCTAGCTCAAACGACGTGATAGTGGAGTACTACAAAAATCAGTACCTAATTTTATTATGGCTAAAGATAAGCGAGTGGATTGGATCGTTACTTTCTGGAAATCGAATCATGGTTGGATGAGGATAAGACTCTCCACACCAACACCCCCTTGGTTCTGGAGGCAGATGATGGCATCGGCAAGAAAACGCTTTTAGTCAAATGGATGGAGTATCATGCCAGGAATAAAAAAGGAGTAAGACTATGGTGAATAATAGCGATATCCCGATTTCATCATTCCCCACTTTGCCACCTAATCAGGCAAAAATAGCAATTATTATTATGCCATCTATAGAATCCTCATTAAATTGAGAGAAGCCCTCAACATCAAACAGAAGGTAGAATTGCTAGAGGAGAAACTCAGAAGATTTTTCCAATATTGGCTAGAAATTTGCAGCAGATAATTGGACTAACAAATTATCAATGGAGCCCCAATCATTTATGATAAAGTATATAACATCCTCATTTCCACAGGTCATCCTAGTGTTTGAAGGCATCGACAATTTCAGAGAGCTACTTGACATGCATCGAGAAGCCAATGTCAATTTTTGGTTGCCCAAATACTTCCCCACCAATATAAAAGTCATTGTAACTGCTGAGAGGTAATCAGCCTCGATGAAATTGTTGAAGCCTGATTGTCAAGTAATACCCATTGTGTCTGACAAAACAGTCATGAAATAGACAGTCAATCACCATTTGGGGAAACATCTACTTATTTAAGTATTTTTATATAATAACTTCTAAGAATCCTTAAAATCTTTTGGACATATTCATTCAACTAAGTTATAAAGTGAGAAATCAGCCAGTTTTTGTCAGAGCCTACTTTTCAGTCTTCATTCCATATCCCTCAGAAGGAGTTGTGGAAGAAAACGAAATTGATTAAAGAATTGTTGAACAAATACTGTAACCGCTCACTTTGAATCACTTCAAATCTATGAAAATAGTGGAGGATCTATTCGCATTCCAATTGGATTACTTTTCGAAGGTTAATATCATGGAAATTGCTAAATTTAGAAGAGTTCTATTAGTCTTATCTCTAACTCAAAAAGGATTGACATACCCAGAAATTGAGAGTGTTTGTAACATCACTATCAAAGAATGGAAATTGTTTCTAGTTTTCTTCAAAGTGTACATCATGAAACACAAAGATTTATGGATTATTCACAATGAAATCTTTAAAAAAGTAGTCATCAATACATACTATGTTGACATCAAGGAAGTCTTAGAATTGCATGACAATATCGCCACAACTATTGACAAGATTACTCCCAATTCCATCAGAAAATTGGAAGAATAAACTTTCCAATTATTTAGTGCCAAGAATTACTTCTCTTTAAAAGAAGTCATAAGCATTATTGAGAACTTTTTGCTTCTTTTTAATCCTTCAAACAAATATGATCTGTGTCGATATTGGTAATCCCTTGAGGAGAATGGATTCGATCCTGTATTAGAATACAATAAAGCAGTTGAAGGCTTCTAAATTCATTATCATCCATCATCAGAAGATATGTTCAGGATCATTATTTAGATTTCACGGTTTCTCAAAGAATTTGGGGATTTTGAAACTAGAAACACTCCAGGTTTTAGACATCCCCCAATCATTGGAGTATTGAGTGATTTATACGATATTGGATTATTGTAAGAAATACTCAAGTTGGATCTTTATTACGACAAAGCACCTGAATTGAAGGAGTTTGATCCAGCCAAACATTTAAAGCGTGTTGCTAAACCGAAAACAGCTCCTGTGCTTTCCAACATGGAATCACTCAATGTGGAAATACAATAGAATAGATAATTGATCAGAACACATTATCTCTCTTTGCTATCTAAACCTATCGAGTAAACAGAAAATGAGGAAGACCAGCCTTAGAGTTTGGATGAATTGGCTGAGGAAATTAATAACAGACTAAGAAAGGTCATTTAATAAAAGGAAGAGAATCTTTCCCAAGATGTAATGTAAACAGGTGAACGAGAATCTACCGATTACTATTATAAGAGATGGATTTGGATACAATTCCCATGGGCTTGCACTAGTATCGACAAGAACTGTGACTACTCTACGGTTATCAAATAGTGTTTCTCATCTGCAACAGATTACATGAGTGTTGAGGATGAGAATGCATTCACAGAGTCAGCACTTAAAATAGCACTTGAAGCCAAAAGAAAACGAAAGGAGATGTACGAACAAAAGTAGGAACAAGAAACTCGTTTACAACTTATCCCCTAGGTTCCCGTGCTATAGTAGAAGGGATAGGAAGAGGTCTTGAAAAAGCAAAAGAGAGAATAAATAGAATTTAGTACAATTTCAAGTTCAAGATACAATAGATCCTCTGCTGTTACCTTGCCTCCAGTATCTAATAGGAGTGCTGTCATAACGTAGGAGGATGTACCCAATGACAATCACAGGAACAATTAGATGTTCATCACTTCGGATTTCACAGATTCAAATTATCTTAATGAGGAATCAAAAACAATTAAGTTAAATTAATCTTCACGTGCACTCAATGTGATGGTTAACAAACTATGTAAATACTTGATTAATTGAAGAAATAAAAAAGTAAAATGAGGTAGTTTTCTTCCAATTCATTATCTCATGAGGTCTACAAAATTACTGAAATATTTCCCATTGTGAAGGGGAATATCCAATAGCATTCAACAGCTCAATTAAATTTGCTTCAGAATCAGGCTAAGATCATGAGATAAAAATTGAATTAAATCATCTATGACAACTTATAGTTGGCTCAAACCTATAAGATGTTAAAGATCATGGATTTCAATAAGGGATATTTAAAAAAAGAACTTAATAATTTAGAAGGTTTGAAATAATAACAACAAGGTCTTAAATTATAATTAGAACAAGCAGAAAAGCAATTGAAGAAATCTTGTAAGACTAAAATAAGAATTAAGAAGATACTGAAGGTTTGTAGGGACAATAAGCAACAAAATGAAGAATATATTAGACATCTAAATTATTTAACACGCAACTTTGCTAAATTGATTAAATTTGAAGAGTTAGAAATTAAAAAGAGCCAAGAAAATATCCAATAGGCTAAAAGACAATTTGATGAATTTTTAAGGGTTTATCGATAGAAGAGAGAACATTAATCAACACTCTTGCTACAAATAAGAAATAGTTTATATGAAAAACAGCATCTAGATAAAATATTTTAAGTGAGTGATTTGGAGATTACTCAAAAGGCTAATGCTTCTATTGAAAAATTGAAGAAACGATTAAACAAAAAGGATGACGATACGAAAAACAAGAAAAACAAAGAAGCTTAGGAAAAGGAAGAAAAATTACAAAAAGAAAAGCTTATAAATTTAGAGCAGTTGTATTAAAAGATTAAAGGAGTGTTTGACATCAAAAACAGTGATTATAATCTGAAAAAGGAGTTTATAGATTTTATGGCATAGAAGGAGAGGAAAAGTGAATACGAAATTCAATTATCTACAAGTAGATAATAATTAAGTGAAGTTTTGGAAATAAATAGAAAATTGAATGAATAGGCTAAGACATATTAGAGTGCCTATATATCTCTTAATGTGAATTAAAAGGAAACAAAACCAGAAGGTATCCTTTTATATTCTTATTAAACTTAGATTAAACTGAAGAAAAAAAATAAGTTACCAATATTTAGTTGCAAGAGTTGTAACTTAAAAAACTTATGGTTTTGGAAGCTCGATTGTAAAGTTCATTAGATTTAATTGCAAAGAAGTGCGGAGTGTAGGAGCAGGATGTATATTACATTGATTTTATTCATAGATTTCTACGATGTTTGGGATGAGAGAAGGCAACTTATTATAAAAAATTAAGGACAAAAAGATTATTAATCAATTTTACAGGAGACTTATGATACTAAATAACTGTTAAAATAATAGGCTCCTTTTTATTTTCCTAAAAGATACATCATAAATAGCACCAACAATGTTGATAAATGAAGGGATTATATTTAAAAATTATACAATATAAATAATAATAATAATAATAATAAATTAATATTAATAATAAACTCCTATTTATAAATATTTATTAATAATAAAAAATATTTAATTGTCAATAACAGAAATATTCAATAATTCCATAGAATAACTTGTTTGTCATCATAAATTAGCTTTACTACTCATATCTCCATTTAATTAAAGCCAATAATTAATTTTAGCAATAGTTATATTCACAGTCTATTTCAATATTGCGAGAATTGCTTACAATTTGGAGTAGAAGTTGTTTTATCAGGCATTTGTAATGGAAAATCGCGTAATTTAAGAATTTAGTTCAATATTATAAGGTTTATGGTAATTTAATAATCAATTAATTAAAAGGTATATTTTTAATTGAAAATTGAAATCTATTTAAACTAGATATCAATATGGTATTTGGGTTATAAGAATGAGGGAAAATGCTTGGTTGAAATAAGAAACTTAGAATATTCAGTGATCAGTTAAGAAAAGTGCACTGGGAAATGAAATATTTAAGTGTTTATATAGTAATTTTAATGTATATACAAATGAAAGGGTATCATCAGAGCATCCCAATGAATTTGGAATTCAAGTTTTTGCTGGAATGCCTCTCCGACATTGGTTTAAGGGGACTCTAGAGAAAGGTGCCTGATCTCATATCGATAATAATGGTTTCCGATATTTAAGTTAATTTCTAAAACGATAGGAATTATTCCATTACCAAGTCCCTGGTTTCCTTAAATTCACGGGAGGACATTTGTTTTGCGGCAAATTTGGAGTCGATTTGGGTGATAGACGGCATGGGTTGAGGGAATTCATCCATGAAATCCATTTAATCGATGTCTCCAATAATGGAGATCTTCATTGGTTCCATCACTTGAGCCTTGTGAGTGAGGATAAGAGATGGAGCCTTGGTCAGGGGTCTCAGTTCGTTGGCTCTGAGAGTTGTATTGGGTCTATCTTAGCAACATCCCATTATCTTTTGATAGCTTTGAGAAATTGATTTTAAATTAATAAAATCGAAATTAAGAGAGTGTATATCAATGATATAAATACTCATGATAAGTGTAACTACAAAGTTAGGAGAGTTTTCCCTCACAGCATTCCAATAAATTTATTGTTTAAGTTCTTATTGGTCATCTGTTTTTTCGAAGGACTGGGAGCTTATCGCAAATCGATAATCACCTCCTCCTTCAAGTTGAGACTACTGGTTTTCGTGATATTATTTGACCTCAGCTTCTCTAGTAAGCCCTTTTCCTCGCAAGTACTCTGAAAGCATTCCATTTGTTCCATGATTTCATCAGTATCCCCCTTAACTAGGTTGCTGGAGAGAGGAGCCATTGCTCAAGGATTTGGGTGAAAATTAGAAGCCTACATGATCCAAATGTAGTTCGTCTGAACACCTTAGTGAATTTTGGCAACAACCCATTAAATAAATTAATTTAAGATAAATTCAAAGTTCTTACACAATTTTTTATTCTTTATTTTCACCAATTCTTCCAATTTAATGAAGACTATATTATATATTAAATGATCTCTACCTCTCTTATATACAATTTGTTAAAGTCATCCTATTTCAATTTCTTGATAGCCTTTTCCCTCCTCTCCGTCTTGTTGTATTGCACAACAACCTGCTTTGATTCTGGTACCACATGAGCCTATCTGTGTAGATATTTATCAAAATCGAACTTCAGTTTCTTCAAACTAGCCTAAACAATCAGATGTGCAACTAAAAGAATTTTAAATATTTAAATACTGTATTTCTCATTATTTTCCAAACAGGTGAAGCATTCCTAAAAAACCTTTTGATTTTTCAGTTTCAAACTGTTAAAGCTCTTCTAATTGTTGCCATGAAGTTCAATGTAGCATTCCTAATGGAAACTGTGTCCACATTAAAAAGCCACAGCCTTGGTGCATTTAGTGATTCGATCATTGCATTCCCCACAAAATCTATCCACACAGACCCCTTGATTCATCTACTGGAAGAGTTTCTTGTTCAAAGCCTTGTAAGTGACATCAGTCTGTCGCATAGCAATGTTGTAGGAGGGCAATTCAAAGGCGAACTTTTCTTGGATGGATTAATTGGTCTTGAGAAAAACCCTCAGTGGAATAGAACCATAATGTTAATGCATTTTCTACAATAATATGCAAATTTTACATTCAACAACTTCTCCAACTCTATGCATTTAGACATGGCTAAGAAGACCTCAGAAACGATGTCTCCATGCAACTTTCTTAAGATTTCTGGAACCTTCACATCAGTCAGCTGCTCTAGTTTATGCTATTTGAAAAAAGAGTCTAAAAATTAAAACCAATAGCCATCATCCTCTATCTTAGAACAAAGATCAATTATGTAATTCAATTTCTCAAAAATGTCTTCCTAATCAGCTTCCGATATGGTCTTTGACCTGGCAAATGACTTATGAGAATCCTTCAATCTATTGATGAAGAGCAATGTCAACATATCCAGAGCCTTCTAGATGGCTCCATTTTTTTGGAGTAAATAGGCAGCAGCATTATACACCTTGTGCTTTTCGCAGATCGCCAAGGCATCATCCAAAGGGAAATCTCCATTCTGGACATCCTTCAGCACTTCCTTAGGAGCTCTTTAACAAAGGAGTTCAAGGTAGAGCAATCTGATTGAATCAGAGGCCTTCTCATTCTTTATGTATTATTTGAGGTAATGCAATTGATTTTGAGGGGTTTTCTCTAATTTCTGAATAATTTTCCTTTGCAATTCTACATCATGGAAGTATTCCTTGAAAATTCGATTGGTATATTATTAACTAATCGTCATTAATGCATCACAATTATCAATGATAAACTCTTATAATTGCATGAGGAATTGCTCGTCACTATGAATCAAGAGTCGCTCTACAACTTCGAATACGTTTCTTTTCATTATTGAGTTTGACATTAGGAAATAATTCTAAATGCAAGCGAAATAACCTTTTTGTTTATAAATAAGAAAGGCTCTGAATTCTGGATATTGAGTGCTCTCATCAAATACAATGGGGATATCGTTCAATTGACTCGTATCATAGATGTGAATCAGATAGGCATTTTTATTGACTTCATAGGATTCTAAGTAAATAGGATCTGAATCTTGGGTATTGAAGTTATATAGTTTCACGGTTTGAAAATAGGATGGAGAGAGGAGTTCTATGAATAGCTTCTCCTTGAATTATTGAGTCAGTTGAGTTGGGAATTACATGAGTAATTGAGAGTAGAATAACAAGAAATGGTTAAGTTATTCAGCAAGGGTGATTTAATGATATTGCTGAGTCTTGTCATTGTATACAATTTGATAGTGTTCTTGAGTCTTGATTTCTTGTCTAGTATTTTCAATGGCACTCAGCATCAATTTCAGGATTTCAGGAACATGATCAATGATCTCAAATTTAAATTCCAGGGAGTGTGGCTGATTTGATGTTAGTGTAGATGTGATGTTGCATGAATTGCATAAGCAATTGAAGTGATAGCCGAATGTCAATGAGTATGAATTGTTTAAGGTTTTCTGTATTGAAAATGAAGGATACTAATCCCCTCAACATATCAAAATAGATATTATGTGGCACACGTTCTCCCAAGATGTTGATTCCCTTTACACACATACGAACATATGCCAAAATATTATAGCCTAGCTTAATCCTGAATTGACGCAACTTCTCCTTTTCAATATGGCAATGCTCCTTCTACTCTGATTAACATTTATTTTCCCAAAGATTCATCAGTTTCATTAATCCAGTGATGAAATCTCCCTACTTTGTGCACAAGTATATCATGGCCTTATACAAGTGATAATCCATGCAGACCTTAATTAGTAGTGTAGGTTCTTATTGATGTAAATCTAATTGAAGTACGAGTTGTTGTATCATTTCCTTATCGTTTTGGTAGAAGTTCACATAGTCAACAAAGAAGGATTCAGGAATGAATGCAATTTACTTGTTTTTGATGAAGGGATCTAAACAAGTGAAATATAATTTCATCTATTGGATGTCTTTGAAGAAATCCTTCAGCACAACTAAAGCATATGACATGTTATCAACTCTGAGCAAGAACTCTATTGTCTTTTTTATTTTATTCTCCTTCTCTTATTAAGATAATGGAATGTCTAATGGTTTCAGAGCAAACATAATATGAGTAAAGGCAATCTTCTAAAACATTTAACTCATCTATTCTTAACGTGCTGATAGAGAGGAGGCGATCTCACTCAGTATTTTGATTTATCCTTGGTAGATGAGCATTCCTTAGTGCATAGCTTTCTCCCATTGATTCTTCTCAATCAGGTCTTCCAGATATTCATTCCAAGTTTACAGTCTCTCAATTAATATGTTATTCTTCCTCAATGAAACAATGCCATTCTCATATATTTGCACTTGACAAGGTTTGCTTGGACCCTCATAAGACACAGAAATTTCAGCCGTTTGAGGTTCAACGTCCTCTTTAGATAGCATCCTGGATTTAGGTTCCAAAATAACTATTCCATCATCCTACTTGGCAAACTAAAATTAAGTGGTATGAATCAAGGCAACCCAATTCGAATCTGAAAATGCATAAATGATATTATTGGTTAAAAATGAACTCTTTATAATGTTACCTTTCTCTTTCTCCATCTTGTAAACGGCACTTAATAAATATTTAAATTGATATACCCCTCTACAATTTCAAGTTCATCTTCTATGTTCATGCATTTGACTAAATGAAATATGTCACCCCATCTTATACATAACAATTTGGCATTCTGATATGACTTTTGGAAGTACCCCTCTCCCCAGGATAATTCTCCACTTTCAGTGTTGTCCTGTTAGGGAGTATCAATAGAGAAGGTGTTTCTTTTAAGAGTATACACAATTTCGCATTTTAGTGAGCCTAGATTGATGAATTCAGTATTGTTACCTTTATAGAATTTGAGAATTTCAACACGATTAGAATATAGGATGGCAGCAACGACCACTTGTTGGATATTTTGATTGAGTTACTGAGTCATGGCTTCAGGCATCAACTTAATGTCCAGAGCAAACTTGGTCAATTAGCCATCATTATCGCTGGATTGCCTGACCGAGGGATCTGTGAGTTCACTGTTTTCTTCTTCTTTTTTGAATATACTTTTGGCATTATTCCACCAAGAGGATTGTTTTTATTTTGGTTATTGGGTATTACGTTTGATGTGATAGATTTTGCCATTCTTGTAGATTTTGTCTTTGGAATGAGTGACGATGTATTTGTCCATGACTGTCATCACTGTGAATGAGTGTTTGTAGATGACTCCATGTTCATCGAGGGAGAGTGCTTCGATGGTGGAGGAGGGTATGAAGAGGACTTACACGACTTTGCCGGAATGCAATTTGGATTCGTGATGCAAGCGTTCCCATTTGCGCCCTACTTCGTATAATTGTATGTCTCCTCTCTCAAAACCAACCAACATATACTTTTCCCAACATTGAATTGCCAGCACTGAGCCATATCTGGTCTATCGTTCTCCTGCATTGAGTATGGCTTGGATGGACTCCACTCTCCCATTTACCACTTCAATGCAGATGATCACTGAATGTTGGGTGCCAATCATTAGATACCTCTTTTGACGATGCATATAGAAGCAGAGTTGAGTGGGTTGTCCATAACTGCCATACAATTCATTGGCTTGTTGTGCAAAACCATAAATGGGATTGACTTGAAAGCAATCTGGTTATTGTTGCACTTTATCCTAAAAGAAAGTATTCCTATCTCTGGACTCCAAGGAGAGCTTTTTTAGTTCGAAATATGGTGTGTTACCTTAAGAGATTGATAGATCGATTCAAGTTGCTCGAGAATGTTGAATTGCGTAAATTGCTAATATCTACTCCGTAATACCTCGTAATTTAGATAATACATTTAATTATTATTCTAAACTTAATCCCCCAAAGAACTCAGATCAATAAGTAATAAATAATAAATAATTGATTTCACTCCCTCTTCATCAAGGATTGCACCTCGCTCAATTTATTAGAAACTGGCAATCTCAATTGCATCTCTGATTTGCTCTGTCTCAACATCTCCTGTCTGGCACTAGTCGATGTTGCTCCCAATCTCTCCTCCATCTTGGAATTGACACTCCTCACAGTGCATGGTCTCATTGGTTACACGAATTTCGAGACTTGATTAAACATGGGACCAATCTCTAGATTCTTTCTTTTAGACTCCTCTCTCGAGTAAGAACACATGCGTTTCATTTTGTAAAATGCACTGCTCATTACCTTGCTAGCCATTGCACCTCGAGGGATGTAGAAATTTGATGGGAATTAATCCAAACGAGATGTGGTTGTGGCTGCATCTTCCATTTGCACTTCTGTTTTTTGCTTTGAAGTATGAGTCTTCAGACGATGAAACTGGATACTCTCTTTTGGCTTTTCTTCTCTCTTCTTGTGGATGCTCTGCAAATATTCAATGACATTGATGTAAGGAGGATCGTGGTTTCGTGGAGATCGTATCTATTAGATCTGATTTAGAATGTTGGACTAGAATTTCTTGCCTATCATTCGAGATCTCAACTATTTATGTTTGCAGTTTTGACATAGATCTGCCATCAATTAATTTCTTATTATAATATTTTTATTCATTTCCATATCTTTATCGTATGATCCCGACTGGCAGTAACCAAATAACTATTATCATGGTCTAAATATATCATGTCTGTGACGCAGTCCTTGTGCTCAAAAAAATTGCCAGAATTGC